ACTCGATTTAAAAAAAATTGAAGGGAGTCCAGTCCACTGAAACTGTGAAATCCAGGATGCCCAGCATATGCTTTTTATGGAAAAAACTAAGATTCCTGAGTCGCCCAAGAGCGAAAGTAAGGTGCTAGGGGCCACTGGGCGCTGCTGGACCACAGCCCGGGGGGAGTGAGAGAGATGTTAATTGTTTCTTTTCAATCTGTTCGATATCCCAATCTTCCCTTCGCACTCCATTTCAGTGATGCCGAAATGGCTGGCTTGTTCTTTGCATGCCCTCTTCATTGTATTGGGAGAGTATGGGTGGGGTTTTCCTTCAGCCAAAATGTTAATATTCGATAAAATAAATTGAACATTTTCATTAATACCCCACCCTCATTTTACGAAGGTTAAAATGGTGATTTGTTTTTGTACCATCGCTCAGGTGCCCTTCGTTTCTGCTTTCATAGGATTATGGTCTTAATGCTTCCTGCTCTCACACGCTCACCGATTGAGGAAGAGATGTCAAGTCAAAGGTTAATCACGGATCCGCGATTATTACCTAACTTGAGAAGACTTGCATTGTGGTGTTTGGGTGTGGTGCAGATAAACAAAGGTTTGCCTGTATTTATCATCTTTATATAGTGAATATATGCATGCAAGTTGATTGTCACTTTTTTTTTTAAAAGACTTTCACCCGAAACTGTAGTATTTTAATGACACGTCCGAAACCTGGCGTTCAACGATATTACAACACAAATAGCTTACTTCTCCAGGCTACCGCTAGAATGGCGCCCGCCTCAGTGGAGCTTTCCGATTTCTGAACAACCTCACGTGCAAAACTACTCTTGTGAAAATGAAATCTGTTTGCATCAAAGAAAAATCACTTTTACATCAAAAGCCTTTTACTTACCTTCGCTTTAAAGCAGAGGCTTTGTGCTTCTCGAAAATGGCCAAGAAAATATGTGGCCAAGAAAATATTATTTGGTAGCTTCACCGACCTACAGGTAAAGTCTGTTTACGAGCCAGTGGCCCATCGGGCCGGCGCTTAACTCCGGTTTCTGTAGCATTAAGCGACTAGGAGTATTTCTACTCCCCCCCTCCTGGATGGGATACTAGTCTATCGCAGGGTTACCCCCCAGCATTAAATTTAACACCTGGGTGAAGAGAGGCACTGTGAGAGTAAAGTGTCTTGTTGCGGCCGAACCCGGACCACTCGATCCGGAGTCAAGCGCACCAACCATGAGGCAACCGCGCCTCCTCACGGACCTATGATGTTTATTTATGTGGCAAGATTATTTAGCCTGGCTGTGTAATGAGAGTGATTATAGACCAGTGTGCCTAGTTGCTGTTCTTTAAATTAGCTTTTCTAGCCTCGAAAACATGTTTAAAAACGATCGAATGTCCTCTCAAAAGCGAGGACGAGAAAGCTAATTTGCATGCGCACAAAAGCTAAGAGTGACAGTCGTATGATAAATTTTTTAAAAGATAAGTCGTATGATAAGTTTTTAAAAGCGACGTGCCGAAATTGATGGTGAATAACTAATGAGCATACTTGCATATTGCAAGAATAATTATGATTGGTAAATCAGGTATACATTTTGCCGACATAGTTTGCACCACCGTGTATGCAATACCCTTCACCCATCCCAGATACGCGTCAAAATCCGCGCCACAACCAAGGTAACCTCTACACTTCTCGTGCTAAATTTCGTGTCTAGCGTCTGGATGAGATTGCCTTGCGTGTGGTACGAGGTATCTACGGTGAACCTGGGATATACCAATCCCTCTCTAAGGTCAAATTCCAACTGTTAGGAGGAGACAACCCACATTTTTACTTCAATTTGTTTTTGTGCGAAGCGCGTTCTGTTGTTGATTCGTCGAAGCAATCGATTGTTGTTGTTGTTTTTTTTTTTCAATGAGAAGATGCAATTGAGCGAATGTAAACAAAAGCAATTCGAAAATAACCACCAGCTTAAGGTAGTGCAAATAGACGCTAAAAATACTGACAGCACAAGTGACGGGTCATCTGATAACAAAGCCACAGCGGAAACGGAGACTGCCCGGCATGCTAGCACAAGGGACATCAAAGCAATCTGCGATAAACGTGATCCTTGTAAGCGCGAAATTAAAGGGTTGGTTATACGTCAAAAGCCTTTACAGACTCCCCTTGACAGTAATCAATCTTCATTGGAGAGACACGGGGGAGGGTTAAATAGGGTAAGAGGGGAGGGGGATGTGGCGTGCGTAGTCTGAAGCTCACTACTTAGTAAAACTTGAATTCGTGCTGAGAAAGGCGGAGAAGCATTACGCTTATTTCGTCCAAGTTATAAAGTCTACGGGAAGGGTGGTGAGTTTTTGTATTTCTCTAATGCTCTCTCCGTAAGACCCGCTTTCGTTTGATCATTGCAAAAACAAGGACTTATCGCCACTCTTGATATTTTTTACTTACATCAAGTTATAGATGACAATGATGCCAAACCAAAACACAAATAGGAAAGCCTCTCAGAGACCAGGATTTGTGTATTCTCTCAATTTTTTTTCCTGTGACTGCATTTTCATTGTGGAGCCAGCCTAGATCTATACAAGGCGAAAAGTCGTCTCAATTTGTATTTTTAATTTTTTTTTCACTCTACTTCTTTGGACTTGACCCTTATACCTTTTCAAAAAGTTCGTGAATTGGGAGAATAATAGACAACGGGTGATTCAGTTTCTTCGTCAATCCTAGAGAAAGGGAATAAAGAGGAAGGTATACTTCTCATTGATTGAGGAAAAGTATCGGGTTCCTGGATAATAATACTAACAAGGGCGCGCAATCTGGTGGAGCGTGGCTCTTTAAGATTCCAGCAGTTACACTGGAGTACTGGACGTTTGTCGTGTATTCAGTTCCCAGAACTTCATGTCCATTCAGTCTGTTTACGTGTTATCACTTGACCAGGTGATATTTCTTGATCAAGATACTACACCCAGTTTTCTGCTAATTTTTAGCGTTTATTATGTGTTATCTGATCGTTTTCAAGTCATTATTGCTAAACCAATGCAAATACCTCAAAGGCAGCTTTCCATACCTCCCTTGAATCCTCAGCTCGGAAATTCCCCCTAATTTCAGGCTTTAACGCTGCGCAGTAAAAGTTCCCCTTCCTTTGAAAATGTCCCTGCGTAGGAACTTCACTGGAACTACCCACCGAAGGACCACCGTAGACAATTTATGGTACGAACGGTGCTACGGCACAAGATCGTGTAAGCCTCAGCTGCGTTTGCAATTTAACTAGCTAACAATGATAAAAAGGACTCCAAACTAACCTTCTCTCCCCACCTCCCAACCCAAACCATGATAGCATGCAATCACCCTCCTTACATTCTTGGATTTCTTCCAGTAACCGATAAAACTTGCATTCACGCGATCTCGACTGCCAGCATTGCAGGTCCGATCTGAAGGGGTCAGGATGATCCGATTTCATAGATTGAATTTACGTTAACACGACCAGAGCTCGATTGATACACCATGATCACCCGTAAGAAGTCGAGCCATCAAGCCCTTGTTTACCATTGACTAATTATTCAGGCTCGTTATTTTTATACTGTCGGTGCCTGTTCAGAAACCTTTGAAGTGGTTCCGCCTCATTGCAATTGGACATTAGCCATCTCACTCAGGCAGACAGACACCCACGCTGGCCATCCGAGAGCTTGATTCACGGCGCTTATAGAGAGTCTTACGTCCGGAAGGTTCTCGCGCTTTAAATTCCACCACATTATTGTGGTAACCTCTGCAATTCGGCGTTCATGTTCCTCGAGCAATTTCTAAAGTTATGAAGGCTTAGAATGGCTTGCATTCCAGCTTAAAGTGTCCGGTTACACATTAATTGTATTGCTTCATTCTTGGCATATTTCCACTTTGTTGTTTGTTCCATTCGAACGGCCATTGAGGGGTCAATCAAATAAGTTCAAACCGTCCATACGCCGTTTAATTGATGACATTGCCACGGAATGTTGCTCAAGGTCGCGTCGATCCAGTTCGCCGACTAATGCGATTTAGTTTAAAAATATAGTTCCCGCTGCTGTGTGCGTAAAAAAATCACGCACACATTGGAATTTCAACGTTAGAAAATCTCATCGTTAAAAAATGCCCCTGTAAAAACATACAGCCCATTTCATCACATTTACTTCCTTTCTAAATAACTGTCGATGATGTTATTGAACATGCTTAGTTTAGAATTTGACTAAATTCATTCTGCAGTTTATTTTGCTGTCTGAATATTTCCTTGCTGAAGTCACGGGATTTTTATGCGAGGAATTTTCGTACATTGGACATGTGACTTCCCCTTCAAAACGACTCCACAAATCGAATCTTCTGTCCATCGATCGGAATAAATTGATTCAACATGATCAATCCAAATTATTTTCATGCACAAGTCATTGAGTAGGTGATTATATTTTCAGTTATTAAGTCTTCGAGAATTGTAGCTGTGATCAAAGTACCTTCACTGCAACTATTTAATTCATGTTTCTCTTTAGTTACAGATCTGTATTTCATTATCACTCATCAAACAAAGAGCACTAACTAATATTGGTTTGTATTTCAAAAGGCACCTAACCGTAAACGTGTTTACTTGTCAAAAATATAAAGAGTGCTAGTTTTCCCTCTATAAATGTTAATTTGAAAGAAACACCCCCAGGAAAAAATCGTTACTTAACTACTGCAATATAAAGCGCGCGTTTAATTTGATGTCGGTTTCAATGAAATCGATCACACCATGTTTTCCACTTCAAAGAGCACGTGTTTTCGATGGGATCTTGCGCATGCCCACTGATCGTACTAGGTAAGTTTTACAACGAAGAGTATAAACCGCCTTTAACGAGCTACGCTAAGCTTGCACACCATAGGCAATTCCATTGACTGCCGCCAGATTTTGCTGTGGTTCTACGCAAGGTAGACATCTTGTTAAGGTAAATAATTGTGTGTTGTGGAATTCCACTAGGGCGGTCGTGCCAACAACATATTGCGTGAGTTCTTGATATGGTTTCTTTTTTCGGCTCGCTTCATGCAAGGAGCGTTAAGGTGCAAAAATGTCACCTTGGCTTTAAACTCCTATTCCTACTATTTTTGTCGAGGAAGGATTTCGCATTTTTTAGCCAATATCTGCAACACTAAATAAGCCGTTGAAACTTAGAAAGGACTGGACTAACGAGATTTACCTACACATGCACCTCTCGTTCTCCGATGAGGGTTACGATTCGGAAAATGTCGTTTTGTTTTGATCCATTTCCAACAAAGCATTCTTTGGTACGCGTTTGATAAATGCCGCAGAGATGGGCCTCTGAATTGCTTGAATTTGCGTGCGGCTCGTAAAAGGCTTCAAGCATTGTTTGGTAAAGGAAACAAATTAGTGTAATCACGGGGTTGTTAAAAAAAATATATTTTCAGTGTTTTGAAATGGTCTTACACGTATGGAGTGAAGGTGTTGTAAATCGGCCAGTTTCCTCACCTCGTATAGTGATGTTTAAAGTCCTTCACACCTTTGCTTGAGGGTTGCATACACAGAACTGCACTGATTCAACTGAGCATACAACGGAAAGCGTAACAAGGGACAATCAATTTATTCACTTAGATGTTAA